TTTTTTTTAATTCATATTCCACATGAAACTATTTCGTTATATATTTCACTTCAATCTATCTCATTATACACCCGTTTCATTGAAAGTATACTTCAAAAAGAACAAAATCCAATATGCACTCGTTWCATGACCATTCTAACAACAGATCGGTTCAACTTCTGATACGATGCATCATGTATCACAATGAATGTAGTGCATTAAAATAGATATACTTTCTTAACTTTTCACATGAATCTATTTCATTAAATGTTTCACATGAATCTATTTCATTAATGATATTAAATGCATCTACTCCATAATGCAACCATTTCGTGATAAGTTGATTTCAAAAGTAACAACACGATTTATGCAACAGTATCATGACTATTATATTATCTAGACGCAACAACTTCATATACATTCTTTCATGGATCTCAATGAAAGTAATTCATTAGATTTCGTGTTCGTAGAAACAATGAAAACGTTTCACTATCGTGAATCGATTTCATTAATTATTATCTAACGAAATCTTTTCACCTTCTCCATTAAAAAAAATTCACAAGCACTGTTACTGCGATACATGAACTACCATGAAACTATTGCATACACCTTCATATTTTTTTTCCTACAAGATACAAGAATCCTCATTTCTTTGCATTTTCTTAAAATTAAAGATTTTAATAATATATTACAATAAAATCTTAAAACATTACCATGTTTCATACTTTCTCCTAATATATTTGCCTTAAATAAAATATATTACTAATTTCTTTAATTATCAAATTTTTTATTAAAATGACATAAATAACCTTATGAATTAAATTTAATTAAAAATAAATGGAATTATCTTATTGGTCAAACTTGGTTCACACGGTTCGTAAGAATTGGACGGTTCGCATTTGAACCTGCCCCTAACTATATATATATATATATGCTTTTTTTTGGGTTACATATTCGATTGTCATTTCGTAAGATACATGCTTTCATATTGTTTGTATGTTTACGTAAAAAGATTCCAACTTCGAAATCCAAAAGGGAGGGAGAATCCATGGAGAAGTTTGATATCCAAGCTAACATACATACCTTTCAAGAGTTTTTATACGTGGGAAATTCACCAAATTAATTATTTTAAATAAAATATTTAATATTCTAAAAAAAATAAAGCATATATATATATATATATATATATATATATATATATAGGGTTGGGTTCACATGAGGCTAGACTGTTTTGGTGAGACCCGTGAGACCATATTTTTACACTTCAAACTTCACAGCAAAAACACTATGAAGGTTAAAAAAAGTCACTTTCACAGCATTTTGCTGTGAAGTTTCAAGTGTAAAAAGATGGTCTCACGGGTCTCATGAAAACAGGCTGGTCTCACATGATCTCAAGTGTATATATATATATATATATACACACACTTAGGATCATGTGAGACTAATGGTTTTTCGTGAGATCTGTAAGACCAATTTTCAACCCTTAGATTAGATCTACAATCTGACAATCTGAACATTCATAAACGCCACGAGACTTCTTAATAATCACAAAACTGTCACTGTGTAACTTTAGACCATTAGATTATTAGCTTATAAAGTTGATTAATTAACATAAAGTGGGGATTAGAATTGAAAAGGGAGAAATCAAGTATTTTTTTTATTTGAAAGGAGGAAAAAAAAAAGGGGATCTGGGTCCTTGTTTTGGCGTAGGTTATGATAGGATGTATCAAAGGGTGCGTAAGATAATATAGGCATAGGCGGACCTAGTTAAGTGTCTTGGGTGGCACGTGTCACCGTATCGTTTTTCCGTCGAAGGGAAAAAAAATTAGGTTTCGTGAACGGTACAACCGTATTAATTTGTTGTGTGTCATCGTATGTATTTTGAAACTACAGTGAGAACAAGTTTTATTTGGTAGAGTTGTTTTGCAAGGCTTTTATTCCACCCCACACTCAAGTCCGAATTATGTTAGTGTCATTTTCTTAGTCAAACGGTGCCACATACCGTTTGAAAAAAAATTCCGTATATTTGTTTCTTATAGTCAAACGGTATCACCGTTTGAAAAAAATTTCCTATATTTTTTTTCTTATGGTCAAATGGTGCCACCGTTTTAAAAAAATTCTGGGTCCGTCCCTGAATATAGGTGTCCACCGATGCACTGTTATTACCTCTGTTCTTGGGTTCTTGGTGTTGGAATCTTTTTTGTTTGTTCATGGAGAATTAACCAGTAGTTTTATACGAGAAGTCGAGAAAACCATCGATATGCCTCTTGATAGTGATGTATTTCATGAGCCTCTTGGTTCTAATGATGTATTTCGAATGGATCGAGCAATAACTACCCAAGGTCAACAAAAGCGGAACGCAAGGTTTTGGGTCCATACAATAATAACTGCTTACTTATGTCATAATGTGAGACAACCGTTACGAATCGTGCTTTTTCAGGGTAAGAGTGGGTAGAGAAAATACCTCGAGCTCCATATGTTCCTGAAAATTCTTGCTCCCAGTGGAATTATAGATCAGATAATCATAATCAGTTTAATATTAGTTGCAACAAAATTGATTATTGGAGGAAAAAATTACTTTTTTTTTATGATTAACCTGGATAATCCAACCCGTTATACGAGCCGACTAATCCCAGGACGACCATCTGTTTTGCAGATAGTCCGAAGTCACCGCATTTGAACCTTTGTGGCCACAAGGGGATTTTTATTCCTCATTGGATTTGAACCTGGGACCTCCAAGTACTTTTGACCTTTGGAGCCAAACTCAAACCAATAAGACACCACCCTTTGACACTTCTATTTACCGATATTTTATCTATTAATTTATCAAATAATCAAAATTTAAGAAATATATTACATTATTAGTATAATTTAAAGCGAATTTTCATGTCTCATACATGTTCACCAATCATATATGAATACGCGTAAGCAGAGTAAGAAAATAAACGTGAATTTAATAAATTTAAAGTAGATAAAAATCTGATGTGTCTTAATTTTATTGGTGAGACAGGAATGAAACGTATGATTTTGGGACAGGTGATTTACATCCATATAAATACACCACATTTAATTATTACTAATTATCTAAATCCAATTATTTAGTAACAAATTAATACTCACTTACAAAATGTTAACAAAGAGAGAGAGAGAGAGTAAGGTTTAGGAAATAACTGTAAAAAAAAATGAAAACTTGAGGAACACTCTGGTAATGAACGGTATGCACTTATTGATACATTGCATGTGCATACTAATAATTTTAAGCAATTGGTCTGGTATGCACATGTGCATTAACATGCATAGTTGCACAAAAACCAGAAACAACTTCAACTACCGGTATGCATATGTGCATACCGCCCATATGAATGGTTACAGAGTTTAACTCAATTTTTTTTTCCAGATCTTTCCCGAAACCTCCCTCTCTCTATATATTTGACTCATTTGGTTTAAGTTTGGATTGTAGAATCATTCTTCGGGTACCAATATCTGTTGTAAAACACCATGGAATCCGACTTAACGGCATACCCATCGACATTGCGGTGCCAACTGTAATATGCATGCGTTCGGTTTTTAATCGCCATCGTTGCATGACCAAAACTCGCTTCTCTAAATGCCGAATATTTCGGTTGTGGGTCTGTCATTCTGCACATACCAAAATGTATTAAAATTAAAAAAAAAATGAAATAAGTAACATAAAAGAGAGACAAAATTTCCATTTTGACAAAAATAGCCTTACTCGGTTGCCAAGCCTTCAATGTTTCCTCCATCTCCAATGGTAATGTACACAGGGGCATTTTGGTCATGGACAGGAGTGCATTCCCCATTCACAATGTTATAAGCAATGTTGGATATACGTTCCTGTGTGTAATAATTTGACAAAGGAAGATCAGAAATTCCAATACTGCCCCCAGTTTCATTATAAATTTACCAAAAGAGGATGGGTCGATCGGTTGATTCTCCAATCGAACAATTAAAATATAAAGGGCATAATTGGAAAAAGAATCCTTAGGATTTATTGAACATTACTTGAAGCAGTGTTTTAAACAACTAGCTTATGGTGAACCAAACGAGACTTTTTCAATAAGCTTAAAAAATAAACTCGTTCGTATTTATCAAGCTTGATATTTTTTTTATATTTTAATTGCATGCTTTATGAACATATGAGCATGTGCGGCTCGAAAATGTGTATGTTCGTATGGCTCGGTTCGACTCAACTAGAAAACTTAATCAGGCGTTCAACGAGACGAGTCGAAGATTGGTGTTATAGAGCTCAACCTGTTAATTAAGTTAAACGAGCTTTATTTTATGTTCAAGAGCAACTTGATCTCGAATAGCTCGTTAAATGCTCGAATCTTTTAATACTCCCAAATAAAAGACATTTAGATGGTAGCCAACTTACCGAGCGCTCATAAGCATGAACATGACCAGCAAACACAACGTCAACCTTGTACTGAACAAACCATGACTCGAACATAACCCGCATGGTCTCGCCTTCCATATAATGGTACGTGTTGCTATTGTACCACGGAGAATGCATAAGAACGATCAACCATGGAGTTTCGCTTCTATTAACCTTCGGTAGTTCCTCCATCAGCCACATATATTGCGGAGTGTACGTACCTATACCATGTTAATCCGATGTAATTGTGTTACAATAACTTGTATGTTAAGCATTTCTGGTCGTGTTTGTATTATTATTTTTTTGCTATTCGAAAGATATTTAGGGTGCGTGTAGTCGTGTGGACTAGACAGGCTATAGGAAGATAAATAAGACAAGTCTTACCGTATGCGGAATAGGAAGATAATACGATGATATATGCCGAAGCCCTCTTGATCGAGTACCAAAGGGGTTCTGTGCTCCCCGAGGCTTCAAAAGGGACACGATATCGATGAAGAAAAGGCTTAAATGGCTTACTTTCACCCTGTATAAAAAAATCATGTATTGATAAATTGTATAATACGATCTATGAGTTCATCTAATTGATATGAATCGTACCGTTGTCCATCTCGTATCGCCAAATTGGCATGTTTAAAAGAGCAAAATGCACTAAAATGACACCGACTTTGCTTTTATTTCTATTTCTCATATACGGGAACCCGATGACCAAATTCATGTTTCCAGAAATAGTAATAAAATCAAAGTTGGTTCCATTTAAGACGATGGTAGTTTTATTCAGTTTTCTGTTACTTACGAGAGAAGGAACATAATCAAGCTCATGGTTTCCGGCGGTCCATATCCAAGGTTGATAAGCGACACTTCTTTCAACGAACCTTCCCCAACTATCCCATCTCCGATTGTCATGGAACGGATAATGATCGGCATAAGACAAATCACCAACATACAACACTGACTCACCTTTCTCCGGATTCATTTCATAATGTGTAAGCGTTGTATTAGAATCGTATGTTTGACCAAGATCCCCTACGCAAAATCAACGTAATTAAAGAAGTCGTGTTCTAATATCATAAAACACGAAATATAACTCCAATCACAAACCAAACCTAACTAAACAAACCCAATATATATACTATATTATAAATCATTTGACATAAACTCTTAAAAATAATTTTTATGCATAAATTACGGTTTATTGATGCATATTACTTAAAATTTAAGATTACAAGTAAATTTTGTGTAAATACAATTTATTAAAGCTTAATGTTTGAATTCGTGTAACTAACTATAGATAAACATAATCAAATAGAGGATAAACATCTCATTTTAAATATAAAAAAATTAAAATATAATTCGGATAATCAATGTGTTCTAACAAAATACTTAATTATTGTCTTTATAGAAAATTATATTATTAAACCAAAAACATGAATTAATGAAATACACAAAAAAAAATTGAAGTCATTTTGATACTAATATTAATATTTTTTTTTTCAATTTTTTATAACATCGACCGAGACAAAAAAAAAAAACGAAACATTAAAATCGAGATGTATCCCGCTGCATTGTGCAGGTATCCTTCTAGTATATATATATATATGGGTCTAATCAAATGAGAACTGATTAGTTTGTGGTAACTGTGAGAACCAATGTGAGCCAATCATTTAAATAATTAATGTTATATCCTAAAATAACATAAAGGGTAAATTGGTAATGTTTACCCTAACCCTCTTGTTCTTCCTTCTTTCATCGACTAACCCTATTTTTCTATTGCTACTTCTTCTTCATCA